AGATGTATACACCAAAAAGACCGGCATCCGAATACCCAGTATTAAAGAAACTAATTTTTGTATCTTCAAGCTTACTTGCTCTTTGAGCTAATACATTGACACCTTCACCCCATTTTGTGTGCTTTTCACCATCAACGAGAAAACGTAAAATCTGAAGGGCAGCGTAATCGGGGGTACCCGCAGGAGCACCTAAAAAAGCAAGAACGAAATGGCTATCACCTGGAGTAGAAATTCTACATTCTCCACCAAAGTATTTTGAAGCAATTGGAGTAGAAGGAACAGCGTGACTGATATTTTGAAACAATGAATCTGTAAGATTTAATAACTCTCCATGGTTTACAGAAGTACCCACAATCATGATGTTTGGAGCAATATAAACTTTATTAGCAAATGCTTTAACATCAGAACTATTTGAAACTTTTGTGGCATCATCAGCAAATAAAGAATTGCCAAGACCATGACGGAAAGCCACAGAATGAGCAGCATTCATAACTGTGACATCAGGAATAGCAGAAGCAGCACCTCTTTCAAAATTGACGCTCTCCTTGATGTAAGAAAATTCATGTTGCTCATATTTTGTCTTGAAAACAATATCAGATAAGATTTCCATAAAATAACCACTATTAGTTATTAAAATAATTAATTTATTTTACTTAAATAAAAAACCAATTTAACTGCGGTTCTTTAAAACAATTATTTATTTTTTTTTTAAAATAACATATTATGTATGTTACATACAGATCACCGCGTAAAAATTCAGTCGATAGTATTAAATTTTCTCTTGTCAAATTTGCAGATAGGAAGCCACCGAGTAATTCTGCTTCACGCGTAGTGCGGAATGCAGTTCGTGCCGATGTGTTCTATGAGCATATGAATAATGATTTAAAATTTCAATTATAACCAATTTCATTTAGCATTGTCGAAGTATTAATATAATGAATTATATAACATTTCTTGACAAACAACTCACAAATAAAACTTTCATAGGAGCCATGACCTTATCAACCAAAAAATAAATTTGTGGTACAAATTGAACAAGTCATTATCCTACCTTAAAAGCAAAATTCTTTAAAAAATGAGCCACACCGACATTATCAGTACCCTCCTCCCGAGAACCAGCCTTTACCACAAGGGAGACAGAGGAAGCAGGGGCACTATCTTTTTATTATTTGTATAAAAGTTCAGAGGTATGAAAAACACGAGCTACTCAGGCTTTATAATTCCACCAAAGTCTGTTGCGAATTC